TTTGAAGTTTGGCTTTTGTTTTTATTTTGTTTTGTTTTGTTTTTGGTTAGAAATGCATTACAACAGCATGATAGAAGGAAATTTTAAAAACCACTTTATAAAATCAAAATTCAATAAAAATCTTCACTAATATGCTCTGCATAGAAGATCAAAAAAGACCTTGAGTTTTTCTTTAATTATTTTATCCCTCTTACAGCATAAAATTTTATTTTTATGCTTATGGCAGAAAATATCAGTGCCAATTTCTAAAATTCATAACAAGTCAATAAGAAGTTTAGGTTTGAAAATTGTACTATGATCTTGGGACACAAACATAATACTCATGATTCAGTGCTCAGTGGTTGAGACTAGCAAGCTAGAGATGATTTTTAGAAATATTCTATTCTTTATAAGTCGACACTAGCTAGTTTGTGAGTAATGGATTACTCCTAATATAGTAAGATTTGTTCCTTATATCATTTATGAATATGGTTTTCATGTCCAAAATCTTAGCCAGTGTCTGAGAATGAGGCTCTGAAAGAGGCTGACCTGGAGATTTTGAAGTCCAGATTGGCGTTCAAGGAATTTTTTAAGGATCCTTGAAGCTAAATTTCAGTACGGAACAGGAAAAAGGTAACAACAGAAACCTGAAAAAGTGAAGACGGTGTGTAATCCTCAGACTCATGGAGAACTTGAAGAGGCTGGGACTGTGAGTAGCCTGGGCACCAGTGAGTCTCCGGGTATTCGCTGGACTGGGAAGGGCAACAACCTTAGAGGATGAGGGGAAGGAATTCCCATGAGGCTGCCTGATTACAATTCCCCGCAGCTGGAGAAGAAGGTCCTGATCCTTTCCTGGGCCTACGACTAGCACATCACAGCATCTACAGCAAGACGAGTAGACATTCTGAGAAGATAAAAATTAAGGGTGACAGTGTCTGTCCCTAATTCCAGAGAACAAAATTATGTGAATTGGATAACCAATGAGTAATAACTAAATGTAGCTGAATATTCTGAACGTTGGCTCAGTGTGACAAACTGGGGTCTAGTCTTCTGTAAGTGTACCCACATTGATGCTATAACCTTAGCTTATTAAACAGACTTCCAGCATTTAGTTTGTAGCATCGTTTTTCATAGCTTCACATTTGTAACTCTCTCCCACTTCCAATCCTTTTATCTGGCATCGTTTCTCCCATCTATATCTGCCTCTCAACATTTAGATTCAGTGTTCAAGTAGGAAAATAGAGGTGGTTGTTCTTAAACTTGCTGAAGTACAGAAATGTATGGAAGCATATAGTTACAAATCTCCACTTCTTTTTCTTAGATAAGCACCAGAAATGATGCACTAGAGTCTATTGTAAAGAAAAAAATTAAACTGTACGTATACTTTTTCCTTAGACTATAAAAAGCCATCTAAATAATTATGATATATTATAATTCACCCATTTGACAAAATGAGTTTCTATAGAGAAGAGCAATCATGTTAAGCAATATAATGTCCTTGTTAAATATTTTATGACAGTATTTTTTGTGCTTTAATATTTAGCTTCATTGTCTAAAACATGTCTAGAATTTATAAGTCATCATTCAACTGTTCGAGAAATATTTGTGAAGTGTCTTTAGGAGAGTCACCAGGAGTAAGGCAGTGAGCAATACAGAAGTCCTGATCTCGTGAAGTTGTGCACTAGCAGTGAAAATTAAAGTATGAAAATTTACTATTACTAACACTAAAGTTTAAAACATCAGATAAATAAAATAATTAGATACATTAGTCATCAGTCAGTGGCACATGTTTTGCAGGAAGTTAAAATAGCATGATATTTTACCTTATTAGAGTTTCACAGAAATTAAAAGCATCCATTAATTAAAAAGATCAAAACTTGGTATTTCTCTTCAGTGGTTTTCTGAAAGAGCTACTAACTAAGTAACTCTTGGTCACAAAAACCTATTGATTTAAATTGCAATTTACTTCTAAGAACATATAAACCCACTCATTTTTTCTATACTTTGCCAATTATTATAATTATATATTTATTATAATTATAATTATTATGGTATTAACGTGTTTTCTCTCAAGTTAGACATTTATCTGCCTTGGAAAGAATGCTAGTTTAAGAATCAAGAGAATATGAGCAAGGAAGTCAGGACTGTGAGGGGTTGGTCCACCCCTTGAGACAGTGTGCCTGATCTAATGGGAGCTCACCAAATCTAGCTGGACTGGGACTGACCGAGCATGGGATCAAACTGGACTCTGAATGTCGCTGACAATTGGGGCCGACTGAGAAACCAATGATAATGGCACTGGGATTTGTCTCTACTGCATGTACTGGCTTCTTTTGGGATCCTATTCTATTTGGATGCTCACCTTCCTAAGCCTGGATGGAGGGGGAGAAAGCCTTGGACTTCCCACAGGGCAGGGCACCCTGCCCTCTCTTAGGACTGGAGGGGAAGAGCAGGAGGGTGAGTGGGGGAGTGGGAGGGAAGTGAGAGGAGGGAAGGAAGTGGAACTTCTGAATGGTATTATTTATAAAGTAATAAAATAAAAATAATAATAAAAAAGCATTCTACCACAATGGTACTTCCTTTTTCACTTATTTTTCCTTACTACACATGGGTGTTTTACACGTAGAACCATGCAGCACACGCCTGCCCTGATGCATGAGGAATCTACAAAGTGGGGTTGGATTCTGTATAACTAGTTACAACCACAGAGAGTTGTAAATGGGCACATGGGTGCTGGGGATCCAACCAAGACTCTCTGATAAAGAAACCATGCTCTTAAAAAAAAAAACTTCCTGTTTTATTTCTTCTTTGTGTCTTTTACATCAAGCATCTCTCAGTCTCATTCACCCCAATCCCTTATATGCTCCCCCTGCCCTTGCAACTTCCCAAAATAAAATAATTTTTATTGTATGTGTCACTTACATCATGTATCTCGATCTCATTCATTTCCCTGTCCCTCACATCTGCCCTCTGCCTCTACACCCTCCAAAAATAAAACAAAACTTAAGAGAAAAAAAATGAAAAGATTTTAAAAGGAGAAAAATTTAAAAATCTCATCACGAAAACTGCAGTGTGATACAGTAAGCCATGGCATAAACCCCTTTGTTCATATATCTTTACTTGCAAGTGTTCATTGCATAGAGTCATTGGTCTGGTTCAAGGCTCTGGTTTCTACTACAGTGTTGATACTGGGTACTCACTAGTACTATTCCTGGGTATAGTGTTGTTACCCTGTGTTGTGGAGATCCTACAGTTTGAGGTATGCAGGTCAGGTTCCTTCATCTGTTCCAGCAGAGATGAAGTGGATGTTGGGCTGGGCCAAGTCCTAGCGCTAGGTCTGGCTTTGAGCAGCTGTAGAGTTGTTTCACCAGATGAAAGATGGTGACAGCTCTCCCATGTTTATAACTTTGAAACTGGTTCACCCACACCACCTGAACTGGGTTGTCTCTATTGTGCTGCCCTGGCAAGATGTAGCACCTGCTCTCCCTAGTTTTGCAGTTTGTGGGGTCAGGGATAACTCTCCAACTCTTTTGACAAGAGGGCCAGTTCTCCTACCTTCCTCAGACGTTGAGAGGAGGGGGCCTCATTCACCTGTCCATGCTGCCCCAAGACAGATGAGAAATGGGGACATCTCTCCCATGCTCACAACTTGGGAGCTGGCTCACTCAGATCTTCATTAGTAGCCTTGGTTTTATTGGGGTGCCCTGGGAAGGTGAAGAGCCTGCTCTCTGAGTGCTGCAGCTGATGGGGGTCAGGGACAATTCTCCCGCTCTTATAGGACCATTTGACTAGCTCTCCTACCTGCCCCAGGATGAGAGGAGTCGGGTGGGGCGTCAGTGAAGATAAACTAAAATTTAAGAGATGGTGTAGGAGGTTTTTCTGTTGTGTGTTGCTTTCATTGGTTGAATAAAGAGACTGCCTTGGCCTTTTGATAGGGCAGCCCTTAGGTCATAAGCACCATCTTACTAAAACAGATACAACTTTGTTTTAGAAAGCCATTATCTCTGCTTTAGTACATGGTAAGATCAAATTAACTGACTAATTCCCCCATAATTCATTACCACAGTGCTTGTGTTCTTAGAATATTAGAGTATAAAATACTAAAATATTGACATTCAAAATAAACACTAGACTATTTTTAATAAATAAGTTTAAATAAGTAAAAACACTGTTATACTTTCAATATATAAAACTGTAGACAATTATGCTTCACGTTCATTATCTTAAGGATTTTCATTTCATAGATATCTAGAAATTCAGACTTTTTAGGATTTTACTTCATAAATGGAAGGATATTCACTACTGTTTTCAAAAAGCTAAAGTGGCAAACTCTAGAAATGATCCCGACAGTGGGAGCAGGTGTGTCTGTGACTCTATTGCCTTCTATTGGGACTCTTTCCCTCCTAATGGGTCACCTCATCCTGCCTCACTCTGAGGGCTTTTGCTTTGTCTTATTCCATCTTGTTTTATCATGTGGAGTTGTTGTCTCTTGCGGGGGGTCTTCTCTTTTCTGAAGAGAAAGGAGAGGATACGGACCTGGGGAAGAGGAAAAATGGGTAGGGGGAGCTAGGAGGAGTGGAGGGAGGGGAAACTATGTCCTGGATGTATTATATGAGAGAATAATCTATTTTCAAATAAAAAATAAACAAGTAAGTCTAGTTCACATTACCTCAGCCTAATGGCAGAGCCCTGGATAATAGTGCTACCAACTAAGCTTTGTACTTCTACTAAGATCTGAGTTGTATTTGCAGTCTGAATTTTCTTCTCAGAGGAAAAAAAATCATCACTTACAGAGTCTTAAATTTAGTAAAGGGTTTAGGGTTACTAATTTAAGGTATCTATTTTAAAAATGATAAAAGGAGTGGAACAAAATTAGCCCAGGAGAGTTAGTCATGACCATGGAGAAACCAAGAGTGATCCCAGACAAACGTCTCAGGGGTAATTGAAAAGCATTATTTAGGGTGTGAGAGTTCATACACCACGGGGATGATGAGGAAAGGGGTTATTAGCTAAGCCATTGTCTAAAACCCACTGAATCACTGGTCCCTTTCAATGATGATTGGTCCCTTTTTTTTCTAAAGACGGGTTTTAAATTTTAAGAGACGATCTGAAGAGCAGAACTGAGAAAGAAAGGGACACAGATCTTACAAAGGAGTAAGGTAAGATATCAGATCTTTTCTTTGCTATTTCAAAAACCAAAATCTGATACACTAAAGTGGTCACCCTGACGTGTGGATATGGCCGCAGTGTGAAATACAGTAGGTGTTTTTACAGATAGCAGCAAAAGGTTAGAAGTATCCACCAGTTACCGTAAGTATCGCTACTGCTGTTTACCTTCTCCTGGATGAGGAAGACAATGCTGCCACTACCACAGCTAATAATCATGAATATTATTAGACTTCTTTCTAATGGGAATTTTCTCTTTGGTCTAGTACTGGTAGATATTTGTTGTGATATTTTTTCACTGCTGACATTAAGATCATCCTAATAACAAAGACCCAGTCAGTAGATCCCAGGCAGACAGTATGTGCGGGGGGGGGGGGGGGGGGGGGGGGGGGGGGGGGGGGATGGAGCTTCACGGACTGGAGAATGCATACCCTTCAGTTAGAGGCTAACAGTGATATGGCTACATCATCTACCACTAAATGAGCTTTATGGTCAAGCAAACAGTTTTCTTCATAAATACCTACATTAAGAGATAGTCGTACAGATAATTCTTATTTCGAGCCATAAATGTAAGTAAATAGAGAGAAACTGACTCAGCTAGCATGTGGATTTGACAGTGCCATCTGATGAACTTTGCTATGCCTTTATTTTTGTCATGAAATTTTAAGCAAACAGTACCTTTTAAAGCTAAGCATTACAACTCATTGTATAGGTATATCATCTGAAAATGAAAATTATAATTCTTCTTGGACTCCTAGGAGCTACATCCTCAGCCCCGGTAAGTGGAGCATGGGGCTCTTGATTTCAGCATACAAACCTATGCATTTCCCTTTCCTCACCATTTTCTTTTTTTTTTTTTTTTAGCTTGTCTCACAACGCCTATTGTCTGCTAGCAACAGTCATGAGGTTAGTTTAAATAATTAGGTCATTCTCCTGTGTTCTCTAAGTGAAAATACAATGGAAAGAGATAAAAAGCCTTCATCCAGGCCACTGGGTCTTGAACATCTCCAAACATATTTCCAAGCTGTATGGTTGCTTTGTCTACCAGGTGGCTTCTAACGAGTTGTTTTGTCTTCCTTGCGTAATCATAAGCTCTCCAAACACAGTGTCATCTGTACCCTTTGTTCCAGTAGTACTAATGTAGGTATTAAATACAGATGCCTAAACATAAAACACCCTTATTTTGTTACAAATAACACTAACACACATTACTCAGCTGTTATAAAACTCCACTGAAAACTTGTCTCTTGTATGCAGCATTTCTGATTTGACTCCACATATAACTAAGTGAAAATTTCCCTTCAATAAGAAAAACTTAAGCTGATAAAACTGTGAGGTGTCATTCATAGCAGGGGGCAGCATTGCTAAACTCCAACTTTGTCTCCAACTCAGACCTCTAATCCCTGTGGTTTAATGCAGTCTTAGCGGAGAAGAGGGTCACTTCACAACTGAAGCGAGTCAACTAGCTGTGGCTCGTGCTCCCTCTGTAGAATTCATTTCAGAAGGCATCATCACCTCATTTTCCTGTTGTCTCGCCTTTTCTAGTTACTCCTCAATCTGAATAATGGTCGACTTTTGCCACTGGAATTTCAGGTACTGCAATGTACATAAACAGTTCAGAGGGAATGTGTTTCTGATGTGCGTGTCCTATGGTGTGGAATGAGAACAAAATGCATTCATTTATATTGTTAAGAATTTTATATGTGCCTGGCACTCATTCTGATGACTTTTGAGATAGCTAACCATTTTAAACAAAGCTGTATCTAGCCAACCAAAAGGAATAGTAAAGAAAAAAAAATTGAATTCAGTCAAATTTCTGAAGAAACTTGTGTTCTTTGTTCAACTCCTTGCATTTCATATTTCTCATGACAGTTGAAAACCTCCTATTTGTGAGGTTGGTTTGTTTATAAGGAGCTGAGATATCTTCTCATAAAACTTAAAATATATAAATTGTCTACATTATTATTTTTATTACTCAGTCTTGATTTCAAGTTTGTTTAATATGAGAGAGTAATGTTTCCTTTCTATCTTTGTTTTTCACAGGGTGCATTTAACCCCTGGATTGCTCCCTTCCCTGGGATCCTGCAGCAGCAGCAGCAACAACAACAACAACAAGCTCAGGTCCCAGGAGGCCTACAGTTTCCAATCTCAACACTAGAGAGCTTTGCTGGATTTTTCCCAGGACAGTTTGGGCTTGCCCAAGTAGGCCAGGCTGGCCAACCAGAACCCTCACAGCAGCAAACCCCACCACAGACCCCACAGGGTGCTAACCTTGTAAGTGGAACTTCTTCCATCTTGCAGCTGTAAGACAGAACATAAAGGTTGCTGTGATCATTTAAAACTTTGATATAGGACAAGAGTCTTATTGTGTCTTATGTCTCCTATGCTGTTTCAATCACCATGGAAAGCATCTCCTAATTTTAAATATAAAAATAACATTAAAATCTATTACCCTAGTTTATAGACAATAATCAGGAGTATGTAGATGCATAATTTGCATGAATAATAACTCATGTAGAAGATAAAACATTAGTGGATATTGCTAATGCAAATGATACATGGGAAGCTAGCTCTAGGAAAAGCAGATCAAGAATTTTAAGTAACAACTAGAGTATAATTTGTTTATATGATTTTCTGGGTTTGTCTGTTTTCTCCAGGTGTCCTATGTGGTTCCCTTCAAAGTGCCTCAGGATCAGACACAGGTGAGTGGACAGAATCCTGTGGCTAACCCAGAAGTGGCTCCCTGGGCTCTCCATAGCACTACCTCTTGCTCCCCTGGGTCTCCAGCATCAGGGCTTTCTCACCTGTGGATCACCCATCACTGGCTAGAGACGCCATCACTGGCCTCTAGACATCTACTGATGCTGGGTTTACTTAATTCTCTAAGAACAGGAGCAAAATAGGATCTCTGGGACCCTTGCATAACTACAATATCACTATGCAGAGGGAAAGAGTTCAGTAAGACCAGGACATGTCTTCTCTGTATTTAAGTGCCGACACCAGGGAACAATCCCAGGAGCTGACTCTGTACCCTCTCAAACTTTGTTTCAGAGAATCTTGCATTTATATCTGATATGTAGCTATAAATAATACACATTATAGTGATCATATTTTTATTGCAAAATAACACTAACATACATTCATCTCTTATAAAACTCCACTGGAAACATCCCACACTCTTGAATGCAGTGCTTATGATTTGCGTCACGTAAAAATTTTCCTTCACTAATAAAAAACTAATTTTATATTAACTAACAAATTTACTATGCTAATACAGAAAGTTCTGTTAATACTAGCTAATTATATAATACCTCAGATTCAAAGAAATGGGGCTACATATAAATCACTAATTATATAATACCTCAGATTCAAAGAAATAGGGCTACATATAAATCACTATTCACATGAAGGCTATTACCTGCTCAAACAAAGTTACACTGTTTGTCTCTTCTGTAAGTGTTATTATGCAATTAGGTTTCACTCCCACCGCCATTACATAATAACACAATTCTAGACATTATCTCATTGCATATCACACGTATGTAGAGAGTCAGATATGTGACAAACACGATTACTTCATTTCAAGGACCGGGAAACAAAGTTTTAACGAGATTAAGTGTCTTATCCCAGTGAACTAAATACCTGAATTAGAAGTCAGTCCTCTTCCCCTCTTTTAACCACTAATCCAGCTCTCGACACTGGCTTTACATCAAAAGCTTAGTGGGCAATTTTGAAAATTACAAACACCAAGCCCCACCTTAAGGCTCTAGGTATCACTTACTTGACCAGACAAATATTGTTGGGTTTCTGAATGTTTAATGGGTGATTTTTACTCTTGTTCAGGATAAAAAACCTCTTATGCAGATTGTATTTATTTCAGAAACATGATTGCATTATCTTCAAATGTTATAGCTACTATACTCATCTGATGACACAAAAGATAACACAGCATTAAACATTGTATCCACGTACCATGCTCCTTATTTTCCACGGGCTCTTTATGTACATGCACATAGACATAACCAGAATCCCAAAGGATGGCAACATTGGTCCTTTTATTTGTTTTATCACTTCCTAGGTTTCTCTAATATTCTAAAATTCATAAAGATTATTCTTAAAATGCATTGAGATTTGTCACATCTCTGAGTGTTCTGCCTATGTGTATGTATGTGCACCATAGGCAATGTAGCACCTCAAATCAGAAGAGGGCACTGGATATCTTAGCCCTGGAGTTAACTGGTGGCTTTGAGCCACCATGTGCGTGCTGGCCAGGTCATCTACTGGAGAAACACGTGCTTTTAATCCTGAGCCTCTTGATCGCCCAAGAATTATTGTAATAAAATGGAAATCATTAAGAACTTAATTTAATTTCCTTTTCATTCACTAGGCAGAACTTTTAATATCATGATCTGCAGAATTACAATTCTCAAGATTATAGGAAAAATACTGCATAGACTATCTCTCCTTAGGGGCTTGCATACTAACCTATATACAACATTTTTTAAGATACTATTTGTTAAAAGAACACATGCTTCATTTACTTAGTTGAATCCTAAGTTCTTTAAATATGTAACTCTAAAATTGAAGTCTGGTATCATTTTGGGTACAAGTTGTTTCTAAATTTGGCAACACTATAAAAGTGCTATGCACAGTTCAGTTTTTGCTTGAGATGGTAGTTCATACCTATAATACCAGGATAAAGGTATTAGTGATATTAAAAGAGTGAGAAATATTGTTCATCCTGATATAATGAAACTTCCTGTGTACTTCTGTGTTTACACATAGATGTTTGGGTACTACCCAGTTTACATGTTTCTGCCCTGGGAGCAACTTCAACAAGCGGTCACATCATCACCTCAGCAAACAGGTCCACAGCTATTTGAGGAGCAGGTACTATGTGGGTTTTGTTTTAATCTGATTAGTTCAATTATGGAAAAAGGTAAGCACCCTGAGAAAAGAATAATTGAGGGTGGATAGTGCACTCAATCACTTGACCTCGCAGAATAGGACATGGTGTTGTAGTAGGAGCGGCGAGGCTCCGTCCCTGGCACCCGGCCGCCTGCATGGCTAGTTTATGCCCCGAAATAATTACACGGAAACTGTATTCTTTTAAACACTGCCTGCCCCATTAGTTCCAAGCCTCTTATTGGCTATCTCTTACATATCAATCTAACCCATTTCTAATATCCCTGTAACACCACGAGGTGTCTTACCAGGGAAGATCTTAACCTGCATCTGTGTCCGGTAGGAGAATTATGGCGACTCTCTGACTCAGCTTCTTTCTCTCAGCATTCTGTTCTGTCTACTCCGCCTACCTAATTTTCTGTCCTATGAGGGCCAAGGCAGTTTCTTTATTAGTTAACCAATGAAAGCAACAGATAAGATACAAGACCTACCCAGTTAACCAATGAAAGCAACAGATAAGATACAAGACCTACCTCCACCAACATGGTGTCTCTCCTAGAAGCAAACTCTGAACTAATATGGCAGCACACTAAGCCTATAATCTCAATAAATGAAGTCAGTAAATGGTTCTAACAAAATCAGGTTCAAAACTGATTTTTTTTCTGAATTGGATTTTTCTTACATTTAGAATCTATAAGTACTCATTATATGTATATATATATTTCAAATATATGTGATCATTTTTCAAAAATTTATGACAAAAATTGTCACAATTAATCTAATACCTTTTTCAAAATTCTGACAGATACCATTTTATAATCAATTTGGATACATACAACAACAAGCAGAACTGGTAAGTAAATGCATAATTTTAATATCTAAAAATATATTTAGTACTACTTGTTCTCTATTAATATGTAATATATGTATGTATATATACATATAAATATATGTACATATACTAACTTATATGTAATATAAATATATTTATGTGCTTATTATTGAAAACACTAAAATATGAAAGATTGCGAAGTAAAATACTTGTGATCATTAGAACTTGAAATACAATTTGATACCATATATTCATTTTCCAAGCCTAAAACAAATTTTAAGAATTCAGTTTAAATTCAGATCTCTCATGATATATGTTCAAAGATGTCTTAACATTCAATGTTGATTTTTGAAAACTAAAACATGTAGACTTTCAAAAAACATTTAACTAATGTAAATGCATATAATTTTAAGTGATCATTTTTCAAAAACTTATGACAAAAATTGTCACAATTAATCTCATACCTTTTTCAAAATTCTAACAGATACCATTCTATAATCAATTTGGATACATACCACAACAAGCAGAACCTGTGAGTAAATGCATAATTTTAATATCTAAAAATATATTTGGTACTACTTGCTTCTCTATTAAACACAAGTGTGTCTTTCAAATAAAAATCACCAAGAGTACACTTCTAGATGGATGAAGTCTGATTAGCTATTACATTGTTATGCGAACACACATAAGAAACCATAGAAAGATTTCTTAGGTGCACTTGCATGGACTTACAGAACTTGCATTGGATGGTTTTGGAGGGAGAATACTCAAGTACTAGTCAGTCCTGGAAAGGGAATGCTCGGGGAGTAGGGGTGTTCTCTGAGTGTCTTAGGGATCAGATAGAAGGTAATAGAACAAGTCTGAGGCTGTGTCTGGGGAGCAAGTCACTAGTAGTAACCAGAATGTGAGGTCACTTGTACTCGGTCTCTTACCATGACACTAGAAAATCTCATATTCCAAGCTTCATTGCATTCAGACACAGCATTCCCTGTGGTTGATGCTTTACAGACTTCTACACCTGAAGCAAACCGAGTGTCTGTTCTCTCCTGCCTACAGTGGCCTTTCTCTTTCTCAAATCTAAACTCGTAAGAAGTTGAATTGTGCTGGAGTGCTTTGGTTGGCAAAAGAATGTATGCTGATTTAGACCTCTTTACCCTTCTGATTCTTCAGGGTGTACAAGGAGGACAGCAGCATTTAGCTGTTGACACCTTTGTAGGCACAGCTCCAGAAACCCCCGGGATGGTAAGATTCCTTACAAAACCTTGTGGTAACTGGAAATTGACAATAAGAACTTCCAAGTTTCTTCAGTAGTATTCATTTACTGTAAACACTGTGTCTTAGTTAGGGTGAAGAGACACCATGACCACAGCAACACTTATAAGGAAAACGTTAAATTGGGGTTGCTCACATACTGTTTCTGATATTCAGCTCATTATCATGTGGGGAGCATGGCGGCATGCAGGCACACATGGTGCTAGCTATGTCTTGATCAGAAGGCAATGGAGTAGACGCAGACACTGGGCAGTATCTTAACCATAGAAAACCTCAAGACCCGCCCCTACAATGACACACTTCCTCCAACTAGGCCACACCTACTTCAACAAAGCTACACTTTGTAATAGCACCACTCCTACCAGCTTACAGGGACCAATTACATTCAAACTACCACATACCGTTACAATGATCATCAATGATTACTGATCTTCCCCTGTAATCTTTGTTAGTCAAGATTTAAATCATTCAATTCCTCAACTATTTACTAAAAAACTTTTTCCAGGAACTCTTCTGTGTACCTTATTTAAAAGTTGGGGTACTATTGGCAGTTGATGACTTGGAGAGGGAAAGTCCTATTTCTTTGGTGGTGTAGTCACTCATGGCTAACACATGCATTAATGGGTGAACCATACCAACATGTTTAATAACATTACTAATTGGATGCAGTGGGGTATGTTAATTTAAAAAAAGAAGTGGAGGAGGAGCAGGAAGAGAGGTAGGAGAAAGAGAAGCACCTGAAGCTAAGAGACAGATGTGCTAGAAAACTCCAAAAAAGTTAGAAGGGAAAATGTGGGTTGGATATAATCATAACACACTGCATGCATACATGTAGTGGCATTTCATCTGTATTTTAATAAACAAAGCTTGCCTAAAGATCAGAGAGTGAAACAGCCCCACTGGTCAGCCTTACAGACCAGGCGGTGGTGACACACACCTTTAATCCCAGTAGCTACACTAGCTGCCATAGAAACCGGGCAGTGCCTGCCTTTAATCCCAGTGGCACACACCTTTAGTACCAGAACTAGAGAGGATTATTAAATGATAGGAGACAGCTCTCACTCTCAGTCTCATTCTGATATTCCCTGAGGCAGGATTGCCGTTTTAGACCTAGGTAGAGGTAAGAGCTAGTGGCTGACTGCTTTGCTTTTCAGATCTTCAGGTTGAACCCCAATTTCTGTCTCTGAGTTTTTATTAGTCATACTTTACATACATGTATGATGTTCTCAAAGAATAAATTTAAAAGTAGCTATCAATATACAACCATGTTTGTGAAATATAATCACAACCTTTCTACGATAGTTTATGAACTATAAAACTAATAAGACACATATTGTTTAATGTGATGCCTATTTGTGCCCCTCAACCCTTTAGCTTCACAGTCTCCCAAGTTTGAAGGGTCTACTTGGAGATGTAACCACTTTGTCCTGTTCTTGATCTTACAGCCCATAGAAGGCGGTCCGCTGCATTCACAAAGAGAACCAGTCAGCTTTAAGCATGACAATGCAGGAGTTTTAATGCCTCCAACTACCCCAAAACCAAGCAGCAAGAATGTTTTCACTCCTGCAATAGACCCAACTATTGCCCCAGTACTTCTAGAACAGAAGGTAGGGTGACCAAAGATTCATTTTATGAAATAAATTGTTCTCTATGGTCTAAGTGATACATTATAATAAAAGTACATGTAAGTAATAATATATTGCCATAAATCTGAATAAAAACAGCCAACAATTATTATTTTAAATCAATTTTTCAGGGCGTAACTTGATTTTAATTGTAATATGAGCTTCCTGTGAATGTTCTTTCTCTCTAGGTCAAGACTGATAAACTAAGAGAGCCATAAGACATTGTCTTAATCACTCGGAGATTTTGGTAGGTATTTTTTTTGCCAAGATTAAAGCTTAAATGCCCTAACAATTTTTAACAAAAAATTAATTTGAAAATTAACAAAGAGTTCTTAGCATAAAGATTATAGAAAAACAAGCTAGTGTTTAAATCTGCCTACAAAGACCACACCAATTATGAGTTTTGCCTAAATTTTAAAAATCAAAATTAACTTCTTAAAGTCATATCTGCCTATATTATAAACTTGATATGAGTCACATAAATACTGAGTATATTGTTTCTATATAAAAGAAATCACATGTTCTCTACATAGTCAGTCCTCCTAAGACATCTTTTCATTTTACTAACTAAATACTGTGATTGATGTTAATATCGCTTTGTTTTAAATAAAGTATAGTAAAATAATAAAAGAATTGTATAATGACAGAGCAATTTCAAAATTAATTAATTACATCCTAAATATAACCATGATTAGATATTTGTCTAAATGAACTTGGTTGGCTACTGAAGATACATTATTCATTTATTAGGAAAGCATTCTTGAAGTTATACTACTAATAAAAACACACATAGAAAGGAATGCAGAGTAATTTACTAAGCAAACTAAAGGACAAGGTGTTTAAAGTTTCTCATGAGCTCATTCAGACTCTTCTGGAAGAAGCAACATTGAGCAGACTTCAGTAGAAAAGGGCCACTAGGAACACAGTCAGGAGCAAGGAGCATCCTTTCCTCTCTAGAAAAGTACCTCACTGATGCACTATTTGAATAGTGCAAATCAATTCAAGCTACTGGTACAAAACCTGAAAGGTGTTTCCGAACAGTGTGAGCTTCGGCCAGTGTAAAACTTCCAGTGAGATGTTTTTGTTTCTTTTACAAACGATTTCAAATAGCTACACAACTTTATTCAAAAGAACCTACTAATACTGAAACTCTGTTCTTTCTTACTTTCAGGGAGAAGATGTGATGGTACCTTCGCTGTCTTTGAGATCATTTTCCTCTTCTATACTAATAGATATTCGTTTAATGGTATAAAACCTCTTCACTAGTCTCCTAATTTTCTTTACTTAGTATATTCTTCATGTCACAAAAAAACTAATACACCATGTAATAAGTTCTACCTTTACAAGGCTGTTTTCCCAAAGACAGGAGTAATTATGCTTATATAATCTAGAAAATAACAATACTAAAAATAAAGCTAATAATAGCAAATTAATTTGATAACTGTATTAATAAAGATGTCTCTAAAATTGTGCCATTAAAGAAAATAAATATGTATCGTCAATAGATTTATGATGAATGTGGCAATTGGTAAAAAACAGATAAACTATGAGTCTAACTTCCTCACGTCAACATCTGCTTGTTTTTCCCAATCCCATTCTGTCAGCTTGCTTATGATTCGTTCTCCTTCAAAGTCAATGTTTTGTTCTGTCTTGATTTGTGTTTTTGTTTGTTTGTTTGTTTGTTTAGACAGGGTCTCACCCTATTGCCTTGACTGTCCTGGAACTAAGTATGTAGATTAGGCTAGCCTTCAACGCATATAAATCTAGCTGTTTCTTCCTCTGAGTGCTGGGATTAAGGGTGTACAGTACCATGCCTGGCCCTCCAGAATTATTTCAAAAACAGATATTGGCCATGTGTGCTCTATTTATACCACAACTACATAGAAAGACGGGTGCTGAATGCAGAAGGACAGAAAGAAGGTGCCTGCTTATCTGGGGAGACAGCAGTCTACAGATGCTGGGACATGGATTTTGAATTTCATCACATTTGGATTTGAATCTTGAAGATGTCACTTAAACTTAGGCCTCTATTCTCAGTTGTAAATAGGGCAGAGTGAGACATGAATTTTAGAATTTCTGAAAGTACTGCTTGAAATAACATACAAGTACTAAAGAGTTACTTTTCTCTTTTTCACGTGTGAACTTAAAAGTACTTTCAACTTATTTTCTCAAATTCAGATCTTTAGCAAAAATTATCTGAAAACAGGAAATTTAGCATTTAATGTAGCTTATATGTATGTTAATAGAAGCATGTTATACTAGCTGTGAAGCGACATCATAACCACAGCAACTCTAGTAAAGGAAAATAATTTAATTGGGGGCGATTTACAGATTTAGAGGTTTAGTCCACTATCGTCGTGGTGGATATGGTAGCATGCAAGCAGACACGCTGCTGGAGCAGATGTATCTTGAGCATAGTAGACCTCAGTGTCAGCCCACACAGAGACACGCTTCCTACAACAAGGTCCTACCTACCCAATGAAGCCACACCTCCTAATAGTATGACTCCCTATGAGTTTATGGGGGCCAATTACATTCAAACCACCACATATGTGAATCTGCATATGTTAAAGATGAATAAGTTAATAAACTGATACATGTTATATTATTCAATAATTTGGTGTTCCAGTGGTAAAACACAAGGACATATTGAAATTTTCAGCCAAATGGGTGGAGGATCTAAGAAAAAAACATGAGTGAGGTAACTCAGATTCAGAAAGACAAATATAATACGTACTCATAAATGGCTTTTAGGCATAAAACAAAGAAAAAATGGCCTACAGTCCACAACCCCAGAAAACCTAGACAACAAAGAGGACCCTAAGAGAGACATACATGGATCTACATAGGAAGATGAAAAAGACAAGATCTCCTGAGTAAATTGGGAACATGGGGATCACGGGGGAGGGTCAATGGGAAGAAAGAAGGAAGAGAAGAAAGCAGAGAAAACTGTAAAGGAAAAAAATAAAACCCCACAAAAATGCTATTAGAAAAAAATTTGGTGTTCACCAGGCAGGAGTGGTGCATACCTTTAATCCAGCACTCGGGAGAGGCAGAGGCAAATGGATCTCTGAGTTACAGGACAGCTAAAGAAAACAGAAAAAAAAGAAAGAAAAAATGAATGAAAGAGAGAGAGAGAGAGAGAGAGGGAGGAGGGAGGGAGGGAGGGAGGGACAAACGGACAGACAGGCAGACATACAGGAGGGAAGGAAGGAAGGAAGGAAGGAAGGAAGGAAGGAAGGAAGGAAGGAAGGAAGGAAGGAAGGAAGGAAGGAAGGAAGGAAGGAAGGAAGGAAAATAGAAAAGAAAAAGAAAAAAGTGATGTTCTAGGTTCTACAGTTGATCATATTTTGTAGGATTGTAGCTGTTTCTACATTTAATAGTGTTGTTGTATCTCTGAATCTACTTTTTCTCTATGGACGAGCAACCCATTAATCACCAACTGTGCCTTCATTTTATTCTGTGTACTTTTCCCTGAGTTCATGTAATTAAGGAATGTAACCCTCAGTGCTTGACTGAGCTCCTCATGCCAGATATGACAAACACCAAGAAGTATAATAAAAACCTCAGGTGTTCAGCAGCTAAAAGCATTGTGTTCCCAAAATTCCAACCGTTCAGAAAATCATTTTTAAAGTTACATGATGTAATTCAAATCAAGTACTGAAGAGACAACCTAGAATATACTATACCAAGTACCCAATTTTAAAAGACAATGTAGTTAGAGGGAAGCCCAGAGACTGGAGAGGAGGGAGGAGTGTGATACAGCTTCTCTGTTCAAGATGAGACAGTGGGGAAGTTAGAAAAATGGTGAAATCCAGTGTGACTCCTTATCAGCTTGAGCACTCACTGATATTAGGGATGAATCATAAACACTTTTATTTATTTATTTATTTATTAAAGATTTCTGTCTCTTCCCCACCGCCGCCTCCCCTTTCCCTCCCCCTCCCCCAATCAAGTCCCCCTCCCTCGTCAGCCCAAAGAGCAATCAGGGTTCTCTGCCCTGTGGGAAGTCCAAGGACCACCCTCCTCCATCCAGGTCTAGTAAGAGCTTTTTTAAAGACTCTATTCATTGTTCTTATAATGACCAACTAATTGGTAACCATAATCTGAGTGTTCTATTGAACATGGTTTTGGGAGTTACCAGCATATGAATCAATGCCCTGATATTTTCAGACCAGGCTACCTCCCTGATTTCATCACTAGCACAACACACTTGAATCCCCCCTGTTCTTTTTATCCATATCAATAAAATCACATATACTTCTCATGACTGGCTTCTCTTATTAAACAATTTTTATGTGATTCATTCCTGATGACACATTGCATGGTATGGATACAGAACTCTGCTTTCTCAAACATTTGATCTATTTTCAGTTACTGACCACTATCTGCAAAGTTGACATCAATGTTCTAGCTCACTGCTTTTTATAAATATGTATTTTACAACTCTAGAATAGGTTCAGAAAGTAGGGTAAGGTCACAGGATAAGAAGATAAACGCAAACAGGGAAGGAACCTGGAGGCAGGAGCCGTGGATGAGTGGCTTGCTCTCCATGGCTTGATCAGCTTGCTATCTTATAGAACTCCCAATAGCCTAGGGATGGCCCCATCCACAAAGGGTTGGGCCCTCCCCCATTGACCACTGATTAAGAAAATGCCCTACAGCTGGATCTTATGGAGGCATTTTCTCAATTGAATTTCTCTCCTTTCAGATGACTGTAGTTTGTGTCAAGTTGACATAAAAATATCCAACACAGTATTTAATATTTTAAATTAAATTAATTTTATAATTAATTAAATTGATAAACTTAGTTTAATATTTAAGCTGAGTTTAGGTGCAGCAAAATAAAGCTAGATGTCTTGTGCAAAAAAAATAAGATAAGAAGATGCTGTTAAACAATTTATAACAATTTGTAAGTTTGCCTCTAACCTGTACATAGGATGGAGACAGTATATATGGATTCTAATCCCTCTACCTAAGGCAGCATTTAAAATTGCCAGCTTAAAAAAAAACTCATTTCCATTAGTTCTTCTCCCACAACCCCATTAAACTTTAACCTTTGCAACATTTCGCCTCAGTTCTCTCTTCTTTCTCTCAATACTTACTGCTTGAACAGCTCTCCCAGCTTGGTGCAGTGGCAGATACTGGAGCTGAGAATTCTCTTTCTAACTTTCGCTATTTTAACACAAAAGATGAAGAGATGTCTTGTGGTTTTACTTTGCAGTTTCTTTGTGTCTATGTTAACTTTCCATGCTTAATAGACACTTGTGTTTCTTTTGTTTTGATGTTTGCTACTTCTGTGTGTTTTTATGTTCTCATCAGTCCCTTGATACAGTTATTCTAGCTACTTTGATTTATATCTGCTGACTACAATGGTTAGATTGTCTGACGGTCCTTTCTACTGACTGATTTTGCTTTAAGCACCATATTCCTCATTTCTTTCACATGTCTCTGCAGAGTCTGTGTCTAATAGCTGTTCACTGATTTTATAAGTAACTAAACAAAACTCTGAGTTCAATCTTCTTCCTCTGTCACATGGTTCTCAAGCCTCCTAACATTGAAATTGAATACAGTACCTCATAACCCAAGCATGAAAACATGTCCATTGCTTTCCATAACTGTAGTTTTCTAGTTATGAACCATAATGTGAATATCTGATATGCAGGATATCTGATACGTGACCCCTGTGAAAAGGTCATTCACCCCCCAAAGGGTCAGGCCACACAGATTGAGAACCACTGCTCCAGAGTGTCCCTCTGCATTGATCTGGTAGATGTCTGATCTAGTATTTGTTTGTCACAGTTATTTATTTCATGAAGGGTGAGGTCTAGCTCTACCTGTATGCAGGAATAATTTAGAATGCAGTTAGAATGTATACTGTTTAAGAAAGTGACAATAGTAGGTTGTGCTCTAAGGTCCATGGCCCCACTATCCATGAATACATGCCTAGGAATGATTCCCCTCCTGTAAAGTGGGCCCTGAGTCCAATGAGACAACAGTTGGTTACCACCAGGATATGGGGGCCACTACTGCACCTTTAGGGATGTCTTGCCATGCTGGTCGTTGCTGTGGTTCGTAGACATCACAGCTAGGTAGGACTATGGATTGGTTTCCTTCGTTGACAGCTTTCATCGTAACAAAAGGTTCCTAAGGAGTAGGCTTTTGTGCCAGTTACTGCTCAAATACACCTGGTGTGGTCTCTTTAGCAATAGAGGTTTATTTTCAACTTCTGGGAGGCAAGCAAAGGTTATAGCAAAAAAAGATATACTGTTTTAGACATCTAACTCTCCTGACCAGCAATTTGAAAGAGAAGTTT